CCATCTGCGTCGAGAATTCTATTCAGATGCCGGCTGTGGAGACGTTAGGATGTGTGACAGTGATTTGTTCGGACAAAACGGGTACTCTAACGAAGAATGAGATGACAGCCACATGTGTAGTCACTCCAGAAGGTCGACGTGCGGAGGTGAGTTCTCTTAATCGTGGAATCTTCTATAATAATGTGCTCTTCTCAAGTGCGTCTACTCAGGTAACGGGCATTGGATACGTCGTCGATGGCGGTACTTGTACCTATGAAGGAGAAGTGGTGAGAGGCTTCAGTCATCGTGAATTTGCGAGCATCATTGAGGTATTTCTTCTAATTCTCTTTTCTTCCTTTGTTTTCACTAGTAATTTTGTCAAATTGAAGGTCGGTGTAGTATGTAATAATGCAGCCATCGTTGCCGATTCGGTCTTAGGACAACCCACAGAAGGAGCTCTTGTTGTACTGGCACAAAAGGTGAGCTGTGTCTAAGGCTATGTTCTGACGATACCAGTTTTTATTGTTTTTTTCACCCCGATTATGAAAAGTATTAGTAAGTTTTGCATGTTCCAATTCGTTTCTTGCATTGTTGAGCGCCATTCTTTCGAAAGTACCCTAAAATTCCATAGATAAGAGCGGTAGACACTACCGGTGAAAAATGAATTGGAATGAAATTGGCTTCTTCTTAACTTCTTCTTCGAAGTTTGATTTATCTATCCATCAAGTTAGAGGGTGACTGCATTCAACTTCAATTTCATTCCAATTCATTTTTCACCGGTAGTGTCTACCGCTCTTATCTATGGAATTTTAGGGTAATAGGAAGCTGAGGAATCTGGAGCCGGACTTACTGGATCTCGACTGTCGATGGGCCAACTTTTTTTGAGAGTATTTTACAAAGTTGATTGTAGATTAAATCAGTAAATGTTTGGTGAACATTCTGCGAACATCAAATTAAGCCTAATTCCTCAGCTTTTTTAGTAAACGTTTTTGTAAAGCCGTTCAGTGTTGGATTGAGGCTATTAAATTATAAAATATTTTTGGATTTTGAAGTGCACGTGAGACACTGAGGGGTCCGGCGACTAATTATGTTATAAATATGTTGAATGGCATATTAGCTAATGATTTGTGATCGGTTTTATTGGCGAATCTAATGCCTCAATTCATTAGAGGGTAACTGTGAGGTTTAATGTCGTCGTTGCCATGCCATGTAATGTTTTACTGGGCAAGAAGATATTTGAATCAATAGAAAAATCTAAATTTTGAGCTTATAATTGGGTTTTGCAAAGTGGACATGATGTATTTCGATGATATTCGCTATACGGTAGCCACCGTATCCTTTTTCAGACTGGTCTGGAAAGATGTCGTGAAATTTATAAACGTGTCCGAGAAATCCCTTTCACTTCGGAATCAAAGTGGATGTCTGTACAGTGCGACCATAATGTCCGTCTAAATCTTCGAACAACGGTCCTGCTTCTATAGGTATTTGACTAATCGGTAATACATTTAAGGGACAGACGGTTTTCTTCGTAAAGGGAGCTCTGGATCGTGTTATGCAACTTTGTGATTCGTACTTATCATCCGATGGAATGCGAAAGGTAAGTCATTACTTTTACTAATTTTTTTTTCTGCCACTATTTCGCCCTCAGTGCAAATAGTCCTTGAGGCGTTTATAATATTAGAGAATCAGCCCCTGCATATCTTCTTGTAGCCATGATCTTTCAGATAATCAAATAGTACGTCCAATTTTCTGAGTGCTGGGCTGTACGTCCTATATCTGTTCAAATATCTATGGACTAGGGGTGAAGGGCCACTCTATTTTTTACTTATTTATTTTCTATCCCCTTTTCCCTCGGGGCGTGTGGCTGTGGCTTAGTGGTGGAGAATCACGACCTTTTCCATAAATTGGAGCAGTGTGCGAAAGAAGCGGTCCTCATCTTGTTTTCCCCACATAGACTGCCAGCCATGCTCCCCTTCCTACCTATGTATTCCAGAGGATCCAAGTGTCAATTAAATTCATGGGCTCTAAAGCTTTTTGGTCGCACGGCGCTGTTATTTTTATTTTTCGTTCCAATTCTGAAGAAAGGAATCGTTGCAGTGATTNCTTTTCCCTCGGGGCGTGTGGCTGTGGCTTAGTGGTGGAGAATCACGACCTTTTCCATAAATTGGAGCAGTGTGCGAAAGAAGCGGTCCTCATCTTGTTTTCCCCAAGTAGACTGCCAGCCATGCTCCCCTTCCTACCTATGTATTCCAGAGGATCCAATTGTCAATCAGATTCATGGGTTCTAAAGCTTTTTGGTCGCACGGCGCTGTTATTTTTATTTTTCGTTCCAATTCTGAAGAAAGGAATCGTTGCAGTGATTTTAACAGCCTTTTTCTTCGACCAGATTGTTCTGGAATGTCCCTCTCTTCTGCAGTGTTTTACACGACCCCAGTGTTTTCCATAACAGGATGCTGTCCTGTAGGGTTACGGGTTACAGAGACTTACGTGAATACGTCATTCTTGCTTTTTCATCACTTACTTACAATTAGCCAGCATGCACGCCGTCTCCGCGAATAAATTGCCGTTAATATATAACTGCGATCGGGAAAAATTAGATTATGCCCAAGTTGGTCTTGTTGTGATCATTCACTTCCTTTCACTTTTCTACAATCCGGGCATAAAATGAGGCATACTGCCATGATAAATGAAATAGAACTAAATTTTTGAGCAGTGATTTTGTTGTTGACATGCTTTTTGACTTCCGAACCAGGCCTACGCCTTTGATTTCCATCCGGACTAATAATCAGGTTTCAGGTCGTATACGGTCTGGAAATGTGGGAAATTGCGGGTGCCTAACGATGTAAAAATCGAGGCTTTTCTCCTTACAGGAGAATGTGGCGATAGGTTGACCGTCCCCGGATTATGGAAGGCTTGGTTGACTTGAGCGGATCTCGCTGAGAAGTGATCCCCGGATGGCAAAAGTGCCTGACGTCGCAGCCTCAACTCCTTCCTTTTCTTGTAAACATCTAGTGCGAGCCCATTAAAAGGAAGCCTTCTTCAAGCAATCACACAGTACAAACGTTGAAGCGTCGCGAGATTAAGCTCGAACTACCAGTAGTAATAGCACGGAGATGCATAGTGGACCTCAATATGACGATATTTCTAGAGATCCATCTTAGTAACTTTTNTTTTATCTCCTTGAAGCCGTCTTGACAGTTTTCGACTCTGTTTGGGTGCTTCATTTGAACTGACAGTGTTTGACTGAGTTGTTTCCCGGTAGCTTTCTTCTTCCCAAATTCTTAATTAGGCGTTAGCTTCAGCCGAGGAAACGATAGCTTTAGTTGCAGACCTATCGCTGGTCAGTTGCAATCAGGAAAAAGGGAAGATTTTACTTATTTGAAAGCAAAAGGGAAAGCGAAGAGCCCAAAAGTTTTACTTACCAATTGATCCCAATTTACTTGCAGCCTCTTGATGACTACGTTCGTCAAAGGATAGCAGATGGAGGACGTAATCTAGGTGCAACTGGTCTCAGAGGTCAGTTGTTGATACACTGGCCCTCTTTACTTTAAAATAGTTGTCTCGCATTCATTTCAATTGTTTATTTCAGTTTTGGCAATGGCTCGAGGCGATTCTATGCAGTCATTGATGTTGGTGGGGATGGTTGGGATGCTCGACCCGCCGCGACTAGGTGCAGCCGATGCAATTGCTATGGTTCGAGCCAGCGGTGTCGAGGTGAAGCTAATCACTGGGGATTCGCAAGAGACAGCGCAGAGCATAGGTAGGCTAGCCTTACTTGCGAGGTCCTGGGCAATACGCTCTGTAGTCAATGAATATTTCCAGGATCGATGTTGGGATTATACTGCTCACCTCATGATAGCTGTCTCTCCGGATCTCAGATCGACAGTATGACCGAACAGGAGCTTGAACTCGTCATTCGCCAAGTATCAGTATTCTACCGGGCATCCCCTAGGCATAAACTGAAAATTGTGAAGGTAAACAGAATTTTTGTTTGAACAACTCAATAGCTCTCGAAAATTAATTCCCTAGGCTCTACAAGGAATCGGAGAAGTTGTGGCAATGACCGGTGATGGAGTGAATGACGCGGTTGCATTGAAAAAGGCTGATATAGGAGTGGCGATGGGATTGGGAGGCACGGACGTCTGCAAAGGTTAGGCTTAGATTCAGGAGATTATCAGTATTTGTCGTAAACCAGAAGCGTTTCAGAAGCGGCTGATATGATTCTGTGTGATGATGACTTTTCTACCATGACAGCGGCAATTGAAGAAGGCAAAGCTATCTACCACAACATCACAAACTTTGTTCGATTTCAGCTCAGCACGTAAGAACTTTGGGTTTATCCTTCAGTCAAACAGGATTATTTTAAGAGTGAAAATTGCAGGAGCGTAGCCGCTTTGTCCCTGATAGCTGCTTCGACCATGTTTCACTTCGAGAATCCACTGAATGCAATGCAGATCCTCTGGATTAACATAATTATGGATGGGCCGCCAGCGCAAAGGTTTGTGATGTCGTCATCTTTGGCTCTGTCTTGTAATGAAGTTCAAAAGTCCCACCATACCCATAAAAGGAATGCCTGTGAAATTTACATGCAAGTTTGATTTCTTCATATTTTTGCTCTCGCCGAAGCCTTAACGCCAAACAATTTTTCGAAATGTGCCAATACTCTCGGTAATCAATGTTGGGGACTAAACTGGTCTAACTGAGAAGGTACACTTCATTGGGGAAGCAGACCGAAATGGTTTACTCATTATTGCTTCAGAAGTGGTTTATCTACTGCAGCAGCTCAGTGACAATTCATTAGGTCCCAGATCGATCTCGCTTCGAGCAACCTAGTCTCCCATATCTCCGGGCTCGGTTAACTGGGAGGATGTAATCACTAACCTGTACGTGGGCTCGGCACTGCGAGTACATGCGCATTCAAACGCCAATGTGATTTTGAGTGGAAGTCGAGTGCCGGGCGCGTACCCAGAATGGTATTGATAAACGCGAAAAGCTCTATCCTTTATCTTGTATTGTATTTATTGCTTGTCATCCAGCTGAATATCATCAGAACTCCAGAAGGTTCGTCTTTTATTGATAATTTTTTTCAGTTTGGGTGTGGAGCCGGTTGATGATGACATTATTCGTCAACCACCTCGAAATGTCCGTCAGCCGATGCTCAGCTTACGGCTAATGATCGATATTCTTTGTTCAGCTGCAATCATCGTGGTCGGAACACTTTTCATATTCTACAGAGAGGTAATATCTTTTGCTAGGGGGATATCCATAGAAAGCTTACGATAAAAAAAGCGATTTAGATGTCTATCGATAATAAAATAACCCCTCGAGACACTACGATGACGTTCACATGCTTTGTTCTTTTCGATATGTGGAATGCATTAAGCTGCCGAAGTTCGAGAAAGATGATATGGCAGATAGGATTGCGAAGGTTTTTTTAAATTTATTTTTATTACAGATAAGTTTTGGGAGGCCTGGTGGATGTCATTGTTTCCTTGAAGAAGTCATTATTGAAGGGGTAATGTATTTCACGGCATTGTATTCGCTATGTGTGCACATCTCATTCGATTAGTATAAACGCTACACAACTAAATTGGAGACGTAGTACTCCTTAAGACTGTATTGTTGAGAAAGGGTGGAATTGAGGAGGTAGAGGGAGCGAGATAGGCCGTGACATAAGCGGAAGCAGGCTGGACCTAGCAATCAGCGCGGTTTGCATATTCCTTTGTTCCTTTTGTCTCACTACGCCCACGCGGACTAACAAATTTTCCGAATTGTCGAAAACGTTAATGGGAAACAAAGGGGTATCATGAATCTACAGGGGATATCGGTGAAAGGAACTTAATTTTCATCACTTTGCCCCCCTCCCCCTCCCCATGTTCTGTTCTCCCCTTCCTTCTACTGCTATTCTACTTTGAACTTGCAGCTCAATCATCAACTGGCAATGTTGCCCGAACCCCAGTTTATTCTAGGAATCGGATGTTTTGCATCGCAGTCAGTGCCTCACTCGTTTGTCAATTGCTCGTCATCTTTTGGTCTCCATTGCAGCATGTTTTCCAAACGGAAGCTCTCTCTGTTGTTGGTGAGACTTTTTTTGTTGGTTGTTGATTTGATGTTTATTGGATTCCTTTTTTCGGATAAAATTGACGGTAGATGTTACTCCGATAATATCGATACACTTTCAGATCTGCTATTGTTAACGACCTTGACGTCATCGGTATTCATATTTAATGAGACGAAAAAATATTTTGATCTACGGCGATCTACAAAATTGCCTTCGACAACCAAAACTGACAATGTTCTCTAATTTATATTTATATTATTATTGTCATAATTATAATTTATGTCTATAGCTGAAATTTCCGATGCCAAATGCGAGTAATAGCTTTCGAGGTTTCATTTTTATCCCTTCACCCCCTCTCTTTATGTTTTTCTCTTTTCCCCACCCAAATGCCCCTCCCCACTTTTTCATGCATGTTCTATGATGTTCTATTTATTGAATTTTGTCGTTGAATTCACTCACTCAAGGGAATTTTTCGTTTATTGTCACAGAAAAGTCTATTTTTTTCTTTCAGTCAAGCCTCAGAGCTCCCATATCATCATCTCTCGCTTAGATTCTACTAGAGTAGAGTATTTGTTTGTTTATTATTTATTATCTGAAAAAAGTTGATCATTAATTTATCATTAGTCTACTCTCGCTCATTTCTGAATCAACTTTACTTTTATGACGGCGTTGAAACGTCAATTTCTTCCTTGCGAAACCATGGACATAATGCATTTGTTGATAACCTTGTTAGCTCCTCAGCAGTGATTAGGTACAGTTGATCGTTTTGGGTAAAATTTCATGTGGCAATTGGTGTTCATAAATAACTAAAGTTTATTCGTATAATTATAAATTGTTTTGTAAGTGGCTATTTACGAAAATGCATTGTAAGGCGGAGTTTAAAAGAGATTTATCAATAGGTATCATCCTTACATTTTTGGAATAATAGTCGTTGAGAATTGTCATCAGTCATTTTCCATTTGGGATGGTCAGGTGTCAGTGTTGCAGTGTTTTACGGTGCCACTTTCTGTCAGTAACGTTCAGATCGACCCTTCAGCAATCCAATGGTGAAACCACCATGGTAAGTGCTATATCTGTTTGATGACGATGCCTCACAATGGTTCATTGTCCAACATAGTTCCCGTCGAATCCGAAATCCGCTGTCAAATTTCGCTACATGGCGTAGCAAGGGAAATCCGTCAATGATGAGCTATCTGTTCCTTTATCGCTAATAAGAAGTGTCCATTGTATGACAATGCTTAATCAAACATAATCCGAATGTTGAGCTTTGCACTATCCAGTTAAGCAGTCATCACTATGGAAATAACTTTTCGTATGTGCCTTACCCTCACAGGTGTAAAGTAGGAACTTAACCAAAGTAGTGGATGAATTCGGAATGAAGCTGCCCACGAATTTACGTTTCCATTGAGTTAGGAGCATCTTTTGAAAATATTGGATCGAGTACTTTATTATTGTGCCTCCGCCAAAGAGGGCCCCTACGATTCTGAATGGAAGTCGAACGCTGGGCGCATCCCTCAGACGGCGTCCAAAGATTTTATTCTTCAGACTCTTGAGTCTTATTATCTATGGAAAGTCGGTGACTGATTTCAAGTTAATTAGTTAAAGCTCCAGTCCAGTTAATGGTAGCACAACATAGTTTTTCATTTGAGTCATGATATTAATCCAAGCTCAATACTGCATGCTACTAGGAGCCGGTGAATTCTATTATGTAAATGTTGTGTACAAAACAAAAAACAGGAGTATATGAGGCATGGGGCGTTGTTGATAACTGCCGTTCCCAAGGGATTCGCAAAGATGTGTTTGTCAATTGTTTTTGTTTTCTTCCTTCGATGTATGCCCTGAGGGGGAGGACTTCTCATTCTCTGTCATCCGCCGAATAAGGGCTGATTGAGATACAAGGCGGAAGCACCCATTCCTAAGTAAGGAGAAAGCCAATAGTAAGAAGTGGGGCATGGGGCTCATAGGTACACATCGTGTAGGCGAATCACCAACTGACTGACATGAGAGGTCAGACCTTTCTGAGAACTGATTCTCCCTCTTGCTCATCTACCAGGGTTGGAACGAAAAGGAATGTGTGATGACTGGCTGTCACGAAGGGCAGATGTGAGCGGAGAATTCCCCATTGGATTGGAACAATTACAATTCATTCCGCATATCAATCCCGAAATCGTTGAATTTTGTTTCCGAAAAAAATTTTTAAATCTGGGCAGAGCCATTTAGATATCAAGGGACTGGAATTCATGAGAATTAGCGTTAGAAATGGCTCTTGGAAACGAAATTCGTAAACCACATTTAACCGATTTGAGCTAATCGCTTTTTCGTTGTGTCTCACACTGGAGGAGGAAAGGGTGACGCTGAAAAATTGGGCTGGACGGCGGTAGGTAGAGGGAAAGCGGTGAGAGTAGAAGTCAGTAGTCAAAGAAGATCCTGGAAATCGGCTTTGGTTTGCCAAATTGATCAAGTTGAATACTTTCGCCAAACATTCAGTCATGAACTTTGGTTTTGCTGGATACTTGCGTGACGATTCGGTATTTCCTAGCAGTGCCCAATTCAGTTCACTAAAAAGTATTACGTCAACCATTCGGGGGTAATATCGTTGAAATTCAATATTACCTATATACGTAAGACACTTCATCGCACTGAAGTAAGCACACAGAACTGAGAGCTACCAGAAAATGCCAGAGTCGGGCTCATATGTCCCACGTTGGTTGCAAGGTAATTGGAGGGTGAGTGAATATTTAATGTTGGCCACTCAACACTAAAGGCCTTTGTGGTACTAGCTGAAGTACCTAAGGTTGAGGGTGTTACCTACAAATGTTCGCCTCGGTTCTCGCTCAGGTCACCTCAGTGTGAGCCCTTCAAGCTGCTGAAGTTGTGGTCTGGAATGAGCTACATTTTGTAGAACTCCCAATCCTCTATATCCTATCCTAATAATCCTATAATCCTAAATATCCTAAGTATCGTGGTTGCTATTAGCCCACTGATTTTCTTGCGGTTATTTGGCATTGATTTATTTTATTGATTTCAGAGGTGAAAGCGTCTGTCACCTGATGAACACGGTCTTTTTGAAATTCAAAAGCTGGATAGGCACCGACATGATTCAAGCCTAGTACATTCAGATAGCCGGCTGTGAATTAAACAGTCTAATAAGTTCCATAGGGATACTTTCTTAAAGTTCAGGAAGAGGGGCATCCCCATAGGCATATGGGTCTTGACCACTGTGGAAAAATCTGACAATTTAGGATGCTTCGCAAATTCTAATTGGATTTTCTCCGGAATAGATTAAAAAACATTGGGCATGTCAGGAACCTGTTCTGTAATTACTCGGGAATGAACCTCTCATTTCGTGGATACCACGAAATCGATATGTCAGTGTAGTGAACATGATCCGATCTGATTCTTTTCGCCTCCCCGTAGATAAGTTGGCGTAGACGGGCGGTAAAGGAGTGCATCAAAGAGCTACCGCTCTTGTTAAACATGCGAGAATAGCTACAGTTTACGACATGCCGAGTCATAAAACGAGAGGTGGTCTCTCCGTGAAAACGTGCGAAATTATAGGCTATCTTGAGATATCACAAGAAAAAACGGCATGGTACAATTCTATTTTAAGGAATTCTAACGGGCTTTTGGGTATTTCGGTCCAGGGGTCCATTGTTTGTGTTAAGATTTCTCTGTGAGGTTAGGTAGAGCGGAACCATCTCGAAGACATTTGTAAAGGGGCTGGCTATCGTAGGCGTGTACAAACGAAAAAAACAAAACTTTTGGCTCGAACCGCTACTATCAGAAGTATAAGCAGTGGGACCCTGCAGCATTTCTAACCTCTCCCTTAGTCGCTACCAGTTCGAATTTTTTACTTTTGCATCTTGTAATCTAATAGCACAACTTGTCGGATGTTTATGCAGTATGCCACTTCCCATGGGGCCAACTCGCTGATTTACAGCACTTTAGCTTGCTGAGAAAACATCGATAATCAGTTTCAAAAGCAGGGTCACAGTCTCTCGGTCTTCAACAACTAGCTCTTAATTGGGAGCCTTCATCTCTGTGCCATGATTCCTCTTCCACTTTACGATTATTTATTCTGTGGGTCGATAAGTCCTATATTCAATGCGACAAATTGAAATAAATCATAGGCTAACAATTTCGAGGATCGTCTGCATAGGTGGAAGACTCATCAAGTTCACAGGGTTCTTGAATAAGTTTCCAGGCTTACTAAGCCGGTCTCTAGCAAAGAACTTCACTTTTCTGGTTTGCACGTCTGAAGACACGGCTATGGGTCTCTTGAGAACGGAGCTTTTCTCCAAAGACGAAAAACCACCCGTTGCTGGTGACGATATGATTTGTTGAACGCTGGAGCTCTTCATTAGATGAAAGAGCAGAGGCCACGATTCCCCAATATTGTCTCTGTGAGCAAAATGAAATGCAGTGGATAAAGAGGAACGTTGATATCCTTCTTTTGAAATATTTCATATCAAGCTTATTTCAGAATGAAGCCAAAGGCTGTTTCTGTGGTCATGACATTGGGAGAATGAGTGATGACTTCTCTGGCGATGATTGTTCTTAAAGCCTGTCGGTATGAATGGTCCATTCATACTAGACAGGATTCAGTCCTCTAAATGATATCGTCGTCTCTTTAGAAGGTGCGCTATCCTCCTTTAATCTGAGTGTGGACTCAAACAATTTTGTAGTTACCAGTATTTTCGATGAAACGGACCCAATTATGCGAAGGCCGGAAAGATGCGCCTTTTTCATCCAGTAACAATTTAGCGACAAACATTTCATGTGCATCATTTGTTGGTGATTATTTTCTGTTTTATTAGCCATTTTATCATTATTTTCAAATGAGTAAGGATCGATACCCATTAAATTTTTGTCGCCAAATAATTACCGATTGACGGAGCTAGCCCAGGGGCGGATATTTGGTGAAATTCAACGTCATCCGTCCAGATTTTCTGATTGACAAGTAATTGCCTTCAACAATGAACAATCTCAGCCTGTCTGGTCTTTCCCTCGAACCATGATTCATAATCCTAAATGGGCAGCGGCTTCAAAAGACTGCTTCAAAGCCCTTGGCCGTCGGAATCGATTCAGAAATGGGTTTGGTCATTAATCTAATAAAGTGGGAGCTCCTCAAGAGAAGAGCTGTTCGATTGAGAAAACAGGAACTAAAGACTTCGGCTAGCTCAATTGGCGCTAATTGAGAGTATGTAAGAGGCTATCATGAAGTATTACAGTAAATAGGTTGC